TCTACCCACACAAGTGCCCAAGGGTCAACGACATGTTGGAGTGTTTTTAACAAAGCGAACAAATTGTATTAAATACGCGAGAGCTAGACACCTGGTTAGATTCACTATACGAAAGACCATGGCCGTAGATACCCTAAGGGGGCTCAAGGCCCCCGTCGGGAGACCCATAAGGTCCTGTTGCGGCCACAACTTGGGCCACCAACCACTGAGCAAGCTCAGCGGATGAGGCGGAAGGGCAACCCCCGACACCATGGTCTTAAGTCTAGCTGCACTAACCGGATGACTACTCTTATATGACTACTTGAATTAATATGCTCGACCCGACCAAAGGAATAGGAAAAGTAAGACAAATACAATGGAAAGTGAGAGGGAACAAAGCGAAACCAGAGAAAAGAAATGAAGATAGAAATAAAAAAGTGAAGAAGTAGAAAAGTAAGGAATCGAGTTATAAAAGTGGAGAAGAAATGAGGAAAGAGATAAATAAGAAAGTGAAGAATGAAAGATAAAGAAATAAGGAATTAATGAAGAAATAAATATAGAAGAAGAAGAAGGTTGGAAATGGATATAGAAATAAAGAAGTGAGAATATGATAATAAGAAAGAAATGATATAAGTGAAAATAATAAAGAAATGAATATAGAAATAAAGAAGTGAAGAAGTAGAAAAGTAAGGAATAGAGTTATAAAAGTGGAGAAGAAATGAGGAAAGAGATAAATAAGAAAGTGAAGAATGAAAGATAAGGGAATAAGGAATCAATGAAGAAATAAATATAGAAGACGAAGAAGGTTGGAAATGGATATAGAAATAAAGAAGTGAGAATAAGATAATAAGAAAGAAATTATATAAGTGAAAATAATAAAGAAATGAATATAGAAATAAAGAAGTGAAGAAGTAGAAAAGTAAGGAATAGAGTTATAAAAGTGGAAAAGAAATGAGGAAAGAGATAAATAAGAAAGTGAAGAATGAAAGATAAGGGAATAAGGAATCAATGAAGAAATAAATATAGAAGACGAAGAAGGTTGGAAATGGATATAGAAATAAAGAAGTGAGAATAAGATAATAAGAAAGAAATTATATAAGTGAAAATAATAAAGAAATGAATATAGAAATAAAGAAGTGGAGAAGAAATGAGGTAAGAGATAAATAAGAAAGTGAAGAATGAAAGATAAAGAAATAAGGAATTAATGAAGAAGTAAATTTAGAAGAAGAAGAGGAAGAAGAAGGTTGTAAATGAATATGAGGGGTATTTCCAAGAGACCAGTATAGGAGACCGGCTCGAGGAAGAATGAGCGCTCCGAGTCCGGGCGCTGTCTTCGTCGCTTCCCCCACCTTCCCCTACTCCTCGAGTCCTGCGCGACGAAGTTGCGCGCACACAATTTT